TTTTAGTATGCTACAAGATACTCTCGTTTAAATACATTGACCTTTGGTATGGATATTGGTCTCACTTTTTTTATTGGTCGCGACGATTTTCACTTTTGCCGACAAAATTGGTTTGAAACGCTGATGAGAAGAAAGTTTACGGAGGACGGTTTATCGGTAAAATGTTACGCAAGGTTTTATTCGGTGACAGTTAAGCCTCGTATTACCAACTGCAATACCGGTAAACCGTGTCGCGTGGAAATTATTTTAAACGATCGGCCCAGGAGAATGCGGAAAAATGATAAAACCGGAAGATGAAACACAAAGTACCTTGGTGAAACTAACTGCGACGCCAGATAATCTTTCTTTTTATTACTGAATATATCCTGCTGGTAATGAACATTTTGTTATGTGTTCATGACATTACTCGATAGTGTTCAATTCAAAACTTTACTTTACATCAATTCCGTTCAAATTATTTATTTTTAATTTAGAATCTTTGTAATATCTTCTAATCTTTGTAATAATCTTGTCGATTATTATGTGTTTTTATATTTAGACGTTTTTTAGATTTACAGAAAAATTATAAAGAATTGAATATTATAATTTTGATATATTTTTAAGATTTAAACTTTTAATTAAAATAAATAAAGTAATAATTCAAATTAAATTTTTATGAATGATTATTTTTGATTTAATAATGTTATAACATATTATATGGAAAAATAAATCAAAGATATAGTAATTGATATATGTAAATATTTTATACGTTTATCTTTTTTTTTTTTTTTTTGCTTTAATTTCTTACTGTTTAAGTTTATCATTGTTTCGAATTTATTTAATCAAATATGCATTATTGCAGGCACAAACGTAGCTTTTCGTAAGCCAACAAATCAATCGACAACCGTACGAGGCGGAGATGCTAGTCACGGAAACGATGGAGATTCGAGCACAGAACACGATGGAAAAAGATGCACTGAAACACAAAGCGAGCCTAGCCCTTGGTGGAAGGTTGATTTATTAAAATCGTATTCGGTAAAAGTCGTTAGGGTAACGACTAGAGGTTGTTGTGGTAATTTTTCCTTTTTATTTTTCATATGTATTTATATTTTTTTTTTTACAAATGAAAAATAAAAATTTTTTTTTTATCATAAAATTTAAATACTTTTTATTAGTTAAAAATTGCAAGTTTAAAATATTAGACAATAATAAATAATAATTGAATCGAAATTAAAAGTAATTTTTCATTTTCAAAAGGTCACCAACCTCTTCAGGATATCGAAATACGCGTTGGTAATAGTAGCATAGAATTACAACGTAATCCTTTATGCGCTTGGTTTCCTGGCACAATCGGTAAGCAACTAAATTAAGCCTTTAATTATATGTATCATTAATAAATGACAAAATGAAACTTCAATGCTATAATACGGCAACAAATGATTTTAAATAAAAAAAATATTAAAATTTTAATCGAAATTGAGATTTTTGAAATTTTTATATTGCTATTCTAAATTAAAACATAAACAAAATATTTTTATATTATATTATATTACATAATATTATACGAAAAAACTTTTTATTTTTTTATTATTTTAAAATATTTTATAAGTTTTTTAAAACATTCCAAAATAAATAAAATATTGCTTTATTTATCATGAATAAATATAATTTTTTTCCATAAAATAAATATTAAATTAAATTAGATATATTTTTGTTTGATAGTTTATAGAAATTTTTATTTTAAATTAAATTTATTTGATATATTATATGATAAAAAAACATATCAGTTGAAGTTATTTTTATGTTAAAAAACGATTTCTGAAAATACATATTTGTAGCTAAATGATTAAAAAATTTATTTAAAAATTGATTTTTGATAAATTAAAATCAATTGATTTTACAGAGGAAGGAATTACGAAGACGTTTATGTGTGCCAGAGCTCTTGTTGGTCAATATGTGTTTTTGCAATTAGTCGGTGTGGAAGGAAGTTTGAGTCTATGTGAGGTAGAAGTATTCGCTATTGATGGTAAGTCATAAATTTATAAGTATAAGTTGCTATCAATAATCTATTAAATAAAATTCTTGTAGAAAAATTTTATTTTTGATTTTTCGTAGAGTTCTCAACAGACAGATGCGCTTACAGCGGAACGCCAGCTGACACCGATTTGGCCGCTTTCAATTCCACCTGTTATGAATTCGTTGTTAAAAAGGGTGATTCTTTTCAAGAGGCCAGAAATTATTGCCGTGCAAGAGGCGGTGATCTTGTTCATGGTTTCAAGGTTCCTATACAAAAATAGCTTTATATTAATTATTAATTAATTTAATATTTTCTTGTATTGCATTCCAATTATAATCTTTTAATATTTATACTTTTTGCAATACAGGATGCAGCTTCCATATATATATTAAACAATCTCGAAAGGCGGAAAGACAAACTAAAAACTCAGCTGGTTTGGATAGGTGCTCAGAAGGAACCTTTGATAACGGCGCGAATATGGCGATGGGTTGACGGTGCATATATATTGCTTTTTAATCTCTTTAATTTCTATTTGATTATGCATTGTTTCGTTTATACATTATTTGATTACGGTCAAAACATTTTTTTTCCCTTCTCACGATTGATCGTTTATGGGAACCAGGTCGAAGAGATACGGTTAAGTAATGCCGATTGAATTCGTCGATCCAACCAATCAATTTACTTCATAATTATGAGATAATTATGCGATAATTATAATATTTCTCTTGGTCCGAAATTCATTTCTCGATTAGCTATAGAGATCTGTGAAATCAAAGATTGTCTCAAAACAACTGACTCGGTCGGTGCAATAACACGTGCTAATAAATAAAACATGAAAGTTAGTACTATGAGGAAATCAACGGGAAGTTACACCTGCGAGCATCTATTTGAACGTATAATCTTTGTTTATTTTCGTTGTGTTTGGATCGTACAAATAAAAAAAATTTTTGAATTTCTAATATTGAAAGCAAATCGATAATCGGCTTTGAGATAATCTTTGATTTCACAGATCTCTGCTGGCTAATTGAGAAACAAATTTCGAATCAAAATTTCGGAAAAATATTATAATGATTGCATAATTATCTTTTAATTTATTTTATAATGTTTAAGAAAATATTTTTTGTTTAAGATTATAAAATGATTTATAAAATATTTATAAAATTTTTTATTATTTTTAGGTGAAATTGTACAAAAACCATCTTGGGGAAAAGATCAACCAAATAATTATAACGGCGAGCAAAATTGTGTAGTGCTAGACGGTGGCCGTAGCTGGTTATGGAATGACGTTGGCTGTAACCTTGACTATTTGCATTGGATATGTCAAAGCAGTAAGTATATACATGCATATGTATTAATATGCATATGTATAAATGCAGAGAATTATATATATGATAAATTCATTTGCATGCATTTAATGTTTATAGAAGAAAACAAAAAGGTGTGGCTCGTGTAAAAATTTTTTTTAATGTAATATATGTAATATATGTTTATATATGTCTTTATTTATCAAGGGCCACCTACTTGTGGTAGTCCAGAGAAAGCTGAGAATACAACAATAATGGGCACTAAACGAACCATAGGATCTATAATAGATTATGTTTGTCCTGATGGATATATGCTAATAGGTTCGAAGAGCAGGACGTGTGAATCAACTGGATTTTGGAGTGACGAGCCAGCCACATGCAAGTGTAAGTTTAATTGCACGCACGTCTCTACGCGAGCTGCATAATGATAATGTTAGTGATTAATAATCATGTGGCATATTATACTAACGTCATATTTTAAATGCTTGTAGTTGTCGATTGCGGTCCTCTGCCTGAATTGGAGAACGGTGTAATCACGCTGGTTGATAACAGAACAACTCATGGCGCGCTTGCTGATTACGTGTGTAAAGAAAACTATACATTGCTCGGTGACGTCAGACGTAGATGCGGAGATGGTGGTATTTGGAGTGGACATCAACCTCAATGTTTATGTAAGAAATTGATTTTAATAAATATATTACTTATCATAACAATAGTTATAATTTAGAATATCATTTATTATTTTTCAGTTGATTGGTGTTCGGAACCACCACAAATTAATGGTGGAGTTGTGACAAATACCGGGAGACGAGCAGGATCTACAGCTACTTATTCTTGTCAAAATGGGTTCATTTTATTCGGAGATAACGTAAGTAACTTTGAATATAATTTAATTTATTACATTTAAATTTATTTTAGTAATTTCTCTTATTTGTTATGCATGAGCCGTAAGACTATTTCAAATAAAAGTTTCATTATGTATATATTTCACCTTGATTATAATTATATTATGTAAGAAAATTTCAAAAGATTTATGCAAATGATTATTTGAACGATATTGTACGAATAGAATACTAAATCGATAATCAATTTTGAAAGGTTCTTACCTGTGACATTGGTGGAGAATGGTCTGGTAAAGCACCTCAATGTCGATTCGTTGATTGTGGAGCACCAGCTCAAATCGAATTTGGTTCCGTGGCTTTAATTAATGGCACTACTACAGTTAAAAGTTTGGCTGTATATACATGTTCAGAAGATTACTGGCTGGTTGGTGAAGCGAAACAAAAATGCACCAAAGAAGGAAAATGGAGTCATGATACGCCGTCTTGTGAATGTAAATTTTTCAAGTTTTTTGAAATGTATTATATTATAGCAAATAATTCGAGAATTATAATTATTCATTTATATATATATAATATATATATATATATATAAATATAGTGATCACCTGCGAAGAACCTGAAGTACCAGCTGGAAGCTACGTTGTCGGATATGATTTAAATGTTCACAGTGCTATTGAGTATCATTGTGAAGCAGGATATCTACTTCAAGGCGAAATCAGACATGTTTGTGGCAAAGATGGTGAATGGTCGGGGGAAGTACCAACTTGCGAGTGTAAGTTTCATTGTTGAATTTATTAAAAATTTCTTTCAAAAATATATATTTCTGAACATTAATTGAAATATATACTATGAAACATCATATAAATGATAAATATATGATAAATATAAATGATATTTTTAATGATAATCTTTTCATTTTTCTATATTATAGATGTAGACTGCGGGAAAGTTTTGCCTGTTTTAAATGGAGCTGTAGAATACGTGAATGAAACAACACATCTTGGAAGTGAAATCACTTATAGTTGTACTAAAAACTATAGGCTAAATGGAGTGTCAAGAAGATATTGTTTGGACAATGGTCAATGGAGCGACGCGACTCCAAAATGTGAAGGTGGTTATTCATTTTAGAATTCGCGCCGCAATTTATTTTATATTTAATGATATATGGTACCATATAATGATAATATTTTTTTCTCTTCTATATAGAAATTCGATGTCCGGAACCTGTTTATGCGGAACATGGTATTTTATCTGTAACTGGTAATGATCGAATGTATGGTAGAACTCTAATTCGTACTGGAACTCCAGAAAATTCTAATACTGGCGCGACTTCTTATAAAATCGGTGCTCTTGCAAAATACCGTTGTGAAAGAGGATATAAAGTAGTCGGGGAACCTCTATCTACTTGCGAAGATAATGGAAAATGGAGTGGTGAAGTTCCACGATGTGTTTGTAAGCAACTTAAAAAATCATACTATTTAAATATAAATAATTGTAAAAAATTGTAAAATGTTCATTTTGAATAAATGCATTTTTTAGATGTTGATTGTGGTAAACCAGAACACATTCAACATGGTAGATACACTTTAACATCAAATGCTACTTATTATGGAGCAGCTGCTCTTTATGAATGCGATGGTAATTTTGAATTGGACGGATTTGCTAGACGATTATGTCTCGAGAATGGTACTTGGAGTAGTGACACTCCAGTTTGTAAAGGTAAGTTTAAACTAAAATTTAATTTCAAATTATTACAAAATAAATACTACCTATATAATATAATTTATATGATTATGTTATGAATAATAATTTTTTGTTAAAAATTATATAAATTTATATAAATTTTATATAAAAATTTCATTTTTCATATTTTTTGAAATATTTTGTTATATTATTTTTATATTATATTACATTCATACCATTATTTATTCATAGAAATTAGATGCAAAGATCCTGAGAAAGAGGGCGTACTATCTACACAAGTTTCAACTCACAGCGTAGGTGGAATAGCTCACTATAGTTGTCCACGAGGATTTTATATGGAAGGGAATGAAACTAGAGTATGCTTACAGAACGGATCTTGGAGTGGAAACACACCCGCCTGTTTCTGTAATTATATTTCTCAAATACCTTGAATTTATGCGAAAATGAAATATAAAATTAAACATTTGATTCAATAGTGGTTGACTGCAAACATCCTGAGCCTGTAGAAAATGGAAGAGTGATAGTAGTAAATGGAACCACTACATACGGTGGAACTGCAGAATATCATTGTTTACCACAATATGAAAGAATAGGACCGTTTTTGAGAAAATGTTTAGATACAGGTTCATGGAGTGGAGAGGAACCCAAATGCGAATGTAAGCAAAAATAATATTAAGAATATATTGAAAAGATATAAAGAAATATTTTTATGTATTATCAATATTTATTATATGACAGTTATGCCGAATGAAGTAGCGGAAACGCAGGGCGTAGGAACTAGCGTAGGCATTGGAGCTGGGGTGATCATATTTATATTAATTATTCTTGGACTTGTTTATTTAAGACTGTAAGTAAAATTTATAATAAAATAAAGAATATTAAATTGAATTCAACTAAATTAAACTAAATTAAAAATTTGTTTTAAAAAAACATATTCTTTTAGGAGGAAAGCTACACCAATAAAAAATACTGAAAATGTACAAGCTGCTGAAAGAAAGGAAGATCAAAATGCTGCTGTTATGTCTTATGCTACTCTTAATGATGGCACACCTAATAGTATGTATGAAAACGTTCCAGAGGATGGTCTTTATGATAGTCCTTATAGCCTAAATAGTAGTACCTATAGGTAAGAAATCTTTTTAGAAAATTTTTTAATAAAAAGAAGATGATTAAATTATTTTTAAATTAAAGGTATGGTACTAATATGAGAAGACATTATGGTAGATCTGGACATTATGAGGCAGAACCAGTTTCAAATAGAAACGGCATTACAATTAACGGAGTGTCTGTGCGATAGTTTGGAATATAACAATTAGAACCGAAACCAAGTGTATTTTTTAAAATTAGATATTATTTATGTACAGGTAGAAGGATATAGATACGTGAAACTTTGTTACTTTTATTTATATTATTATATTTGGCGTATCGCCGATCTATGTAAATAAGTAAAAAGAAATAACGTGATAAATTTACGATAGTGTTTTTCATACCAATGATGAAAATATGTTATATTAACGAACATTCTTATATTATTTCGACAATTCAATGTATTATTATGTATATAAAATGTTCTCTTAATATAGAACTATGTCTCAAATAACGAATTTATAATTATAAATTCGTATGTTGATTGGTTATAAAAATAAAGAAACCACTCTTGTTTTATTTTGTATTTTGATATATTTTTAAGAACCACTGAAAAATATCATTTTAATTATAATATAGATATAATAATATAATATAATATATTATATAATATATTATGATGATAATTATAATTTTATTTATTAAACTTTATTTATTAAACTGTAAATATGATTATGAAATATATATATATTTATGAAATATATAGCAACTATATGTATTCGGTTTCATTACCTTATAAGGTAATGATTTCTCCATCAACAGTTTATTCCAACTAAGGTAT